TTAATTTATCAATTATCAAGTTTAATAATTACACTTTATGGAAATGTGCTATTTGTTTAAATTGTCAATATAATTTAATTTGTCAATTTAATTTATAAATTTAATTTATCAATTATCAAGTTTAATGATTACACTTCATGGAAATATGCTGTTTGTTTAAATTATCAATATAATTTAATTTGTCAATTTAATTTACAAATTTAATTCATCAATTATCAAGTTTAATGATGACACCTCATGGAAATATGCTATTTCTTTAAATTATCAATATAATTTAATTTGTCAATTTAATTTATAAATTTAATTCATCAATTATCAAGTTTAATGATTACACTTAATGGAAATATGCTGTTTGTTTAAATTATCAATATAATTTAATTTGTCAATTTAATGTATCAAATGTATCAATTTAATTTATCAATTATCAAGTTTAATAATTACACTTCATGGAAATGTGCTGTTTGTTTAAATTATCAATATAATTTAATTTGTCAATTTAATTTATAAATTTAATTCATCAATTATCAAATTTAATGATTACACTTCATGGAAATATGCTATTTCTTTAAATTATAAATAAAATTTAAATTGTCAATTTAATTTATAAATTTAATTCATCAATTATCAAGTTTAATAATTACACTTAATGGAAATATGCTGTTTGTTTAAATTATCAATATAATTTAATTTGTCAATTTAATGTATCAATTAAACGTATCAATTTAATTTATCAATTATCAAGTTTAATAATTACACTTCATGGAAATGTGCTGTTTGTTTAAATTATCAATATAATTTAATTTGTCAATTTAATTTACAAATTTAATTCATCAATTATCAAGTTTAATGATTACACTTCATGGAAATGTGCTATTTCTTTAAATTATCAATATAATTTAATTTGTCAATTTAATTTATACATTTAATTCATCAATTATCAAGTTTAATGATTACACCTCATGGAAATATGCTATTTCTTTAAATTATCAATATAATTTAATTTGTCAATTTAATTTATACATTTAATTCATCAATTATCAAGTTTAATAATTACACTTCATGGAAATATGCTGTTTGTTTAAATTATCAATATAATTTAATTTGTCAATTTAATTTACAAATTTAATTCATCAATTATCAAGTTTAATGATTACACCTCATGGACATATGCCATTTGCAGTTTTGGCACTGTTTCCCCCCAAAACAGATGTTCCTGCATATAAATTGCTCTTTAGAATGACAAGATGCCATTTGCAGGTTTGTTTTATCCCATATTTACGTTCTGTGATGTGCAGCAGGGCTGTGACTGCCAGCAGTGATGCACAATTAAATTCGCTGGGTTGAACATTTCTGTTTAATGTCCTGCCAAGGGAGAAACTGACCCTGGTCTGAGTTTCCAGATGAGTTTTTGCCGCTGCTTTGCTGTGGAATTTGGCCCAGGAGCCCCTCCCTGGAGCAGAATCAGCTGCAGGAACCTGAGCAGCCCCCACACACATAAATGTGCAGGAAATTCAATTATCGCCCACCAACCCCCGTTCCAGGGGGGACAGTGACATCTTGTGGGCTCAGCTTGCAAGTCTGCCCCGAAACCCAACGCTGGCCACGCCAAAATTTGGGTTTTTTACTGATCTTTTCTATTCCTGCCTGGCACTGGGGAGGTATGAGCAGCCAGCAGCTTGATGTTGGGAAGTTTGGCTGTAGGAAACGCTGGCCAGGTGGTGTGCAAGGTCATTTTTGTGTTTCAGGAAGCTCCCAGGAAAGTGTCACACGGTGAGATGGAGACTCCAAACCCTCGTGCTGGTTGTGGATCAGATTTAAACTCAAGGCCTCCTGTTGGTTCCTCCTTTCAACCCCAAACGTGGAGCATGAGCCTTGTGGTTTTTGGGATCTGGGTTTGCAGCTGAGCATTCCAGAGGTCACAAAGATCTGTTTTCCTCAATCTGGATTGAAACTGAGTGTTCCAGAGGTCACAAAGATGTTTTCTGGGATCTGGGTTTACAGTTGAGTGTTCCAGAGGAGTTACCCAGCTCTGTCTTTTCTTTATGTGGATTTAAAATTGAGTGTTCCAGAGGTCACAAAGATGTTTTCTGGGATCTGGATTTAAACTGAGTGTTCCAGAGGTTACAAAAATGTTTTCTGTAATCTGGGTTTACAGTTGAGTGTTCCAGAGGTTATAAAGATGTTTTCTGTAATCTGGATTTACAGTTGAGTGTTCCAGAGGAGTTACCCAGCCCTGTTTGTGTTTTCCTTGATCTGGATTTAAAATTGACTGTTCCAGAGGTCACAAAGATGTTTACTGGGATCTGAATTTACAGCTGAGTGTTCCAGAGGTCACAAAGAAGTTTTCTGTGATCTGGGTTTACAGTTGAGTGTTCCAGAGGAGTTACCCAGCTCTGTTTGTGTTTTCCTTGATGTGGATTTAAAATTGAGTGTTCCAGAGGTTATAAAGATGTTTTCTGGGATCTGAATTTACAGCTCAGTGTTCCAGAGGTCACAAAGATGTTTTCTGTGATCTGGGTTTGCAGCTGAGTGTTCCAGAGGTCCCAGAGATGTTTTCCTCCCTCTGAGTTTACAGCTGAGTGTCCCAGAGGAGGTCAGACAGATCTGTTCTCCTCCACCAGGATTTAAACTGAGTGTTTTAGAGGAGGTTACCCAGCTCTGCTTGTGTTTTCCTCAACCTGGGTTTAAAATTGAGTGTAGATGTCACAAAGATCTGTTTTCCTCAATCTGGATTTAAGCTGAGTGTTCCAGAGGTCACAAAGATGTTTTCTGTAGTCTGGGTTTACAGTTGGGTGTTCCAGAGGAGTTTCCCAGCTCTGTTTGTGTTTTCCTTGATCTGGATTTAAAATTGACTGTTCCAGAGGTCACATGTTTCTGGTCCCAGATGTTTTCTGGGTTCTGGATTTACAGCTGAGTGTTCCAGAGGCAATAAAGATGTTTGTTATAATCTGGATTTACAGCTGAGTGTTCCAGAGGTCACAAAGATGATTTCCTCAATCTGAATTTAGGCTGAGTGTTCCAGAGGAGGTCAGACAGATCTGTTTTCCTCAATCTGGATTTAGGCTGAATGTTTTAGAGGAGGTTACCCAGCTCTATCTGTGTTTTCTGTAATCTGGATTTACAGCTGAGTGTTCCAGAGAAGGTTCCCCTGCTCTGTGTTTTCCTCACTCTGGATTTGGAATTCAGTGTTCCAGAGGAGGACAGGCAGATCTGTTTTCTATGATCTGGATTTAAGCTGTGTTCCAGAGGTCCCAAAGCTGTTTTAAACTGTTTTAATCTGGCTTTAAAATGAGTGTTTCAGAGGAGGTTACTCAGCTCTATGTGTGTTTTCCTTGACCTAGATTTAAACTGAGTGTTCCAGAGGTCACAAAGATGTTTTGTTTCATCAAAAGATGTTTTCCTCAATCTGGATTGAAACTGAGTGTTTTAGAGGAGGTTACCCAGCTCTATCTGTGTTTTCCTCAATCTGGATTTAAACTGGGTGTTCCAGAGGAGGTCAGGCAGATCTGTTTTCCTGTGATCTGGATTTAAGATGAGTGTTCCAAAGATCCCAAAGCTGTTTTTTTGAGATCTGGATTTACAGCTGAGTGTTCCAGAGGTCACAAAGATGTTTTCTGTGATCTGGATTGAAGCTGAGTGCTCCAAAGGAGGTCAGACAGATCTGTTTCCTCAATTTGTATTTAAATTGAGTCTTTTAGAGGAGGTTACCCAGCTCTATCTGTGTTTTCCTCAATCTGGATTTAAACTGAGTGTCCCAGAGCTCCCAAAGCTGCTTTTTGAGATCTGGATTGAAGCTGAGTGTTCCAAAGGAGGTCAGACAGATCTGTTTTCCGCAATCTGAATTTAAACTGAGTCTTTTAGAGGAGGTTACCCAGCTCTATCTGTGTTTTTCTCAATCTGGATTTAAACTGACTGTCCCAGAGGAGGTCAGACAAATCTGTTTTCTATGATCTGGATTTAAACTGAGTGTTTTACACGAGGTTACCCAGCTCTATCTGTGTTTTCCTCAATCTGGATTTAAACTGAGTGTCCCAGAGGAGGTCAGACAGATCTGTTTTCTATGATCTGGATTTAAACTGAGCGTTTTAGAGGAGGTTACCCAGCTCTGTCTAAACATCCTCTAAAACACTCAGTGTTTTCCTCAATCTGGATTTAAACTGAGTGTTCCAAAGGAGGTCAGACTGATCTGTTTTCTATGATCTGGATTTAAACTGAGTGTTTTAGAAGAGGCTACCCAGCTCTGTCTGTGTTTTCTGTAATCTGAATTTAAACTGAGTGTTCCAAAGGAGGTCAGACTGATCTGTTTTCTATGATCTGGATTTAAACTGAGTGTTTTAGAGGAGGTTACCCAGCTCTGTCTAAACATCCTCTAAAACACTCAGTGTTTTCCTCAATCTGGATTTAAACTGAGTGTTTTACACGAGGTTACCCAGCTCTGTCTGTCTTTTCCTCAATTTGTATTTAAACTGAGTGTTTTACACAAGGTTGCCCAGCTCTATCTGTGTTTTCCTCAACCTGGATTTAAACTGAGTGTTTTACACGAGGTTGCCCAGCTCTATCTGTGTTTTCCTCAATCTGGATTCAAACTGAGTGTTTTACACGAGGTTGCCCAGCTCTATCTGTGTTTTCCTCCATCTGGATTCAAACTGAGTGTTTTACACGAGGTTGCCCAGCTCTATCTGTGTTTTCCTCAATCTGGATTTAAACTGAGTGTTTTACACGAGGTTACCCAGCTCTATCTGTGTTTTCCTCAATCTGTATTCAAACTGAGTGTTTTACACGAGGTTACCCAGCTCTATCTGTGTTTTCCTCAATCTGGATTCAAACTGAGTGTTTTACACGAGGTTGCCCAGCTCTGTCTGTGCTCTCCTCCATCTGGATTCAAACTGAGTGTCCCAGGGCTCCCAGATCTGTTCTGTGGGGCCGGGCTGGATGCTGGCTGTGCCCAGGGGGTGCCCAGCACTGACTGAGCGTGTTGTGTGTTGCAGCAGCCAGCAGAGCAGCCAGCAGAGCAGCCAGCAGAGCAGCCACGACGATGACTCCGCGCGGTTCCTGAGCCCCTCCGTGCCCGAGGACAGGTGAGTCTGTGCCAGGGGCACCCTGAACCCTCACCTGCCGAGCTGCTCTCACCTCCTTGTACTTCTCACAGCTGGTTAACGAAAAACGGGCTTTAAATTGGTCTATCAATGTCTAAAAAAGTGCATTTTTCATCACTTTGAACGTGGGGCAATGCGTCCAGCCAGAATTTCTGTCTAAAAAGCTGATTTTTCATCACTTTGAACGTGGGGCAATGAATCCACCCAGAATTTCTGTCTAAAAAGCTGATTTTTCATCACTTTGAATGTGGGGCAATGCCTCCAGCCAGAATTTCTGTCTAAAAAGCTGATTTTTCACCACTTTGAACGTGGGGCAATGCGTCCAGCCAGAATTTCTGTCTAAAAAGCTGATTTTTCATCACTTTGAACGTGGGGCAATGAATCCGCCCAGAATTTCTGTCTAAAAAGCTGATTTTTCATCACTTTGAGTGTGGGGCAATGAATCCACCCAGAATTTCTGTCTAAAAAGCTGATTTTTCATCACTTTGAACGTGGGGCAATGAATCCGCCCAGAATTTCTGTCTAAAAAGCTGATTTTTCATCACTTTGAGTGTGGGGCAATGAATCCACCCAGAATTTCTGTCTAAAAAGCTGATTTTTCGTCACTTTGAGTGTGGGGCAATGCGTCCAGCCAGAATTTCTGTCTAAAAAGCTGATTTTTCATCACTTTGAACATGGGGCAATGAATCCAGCCAGAATTTCTGTCTAAAAAGCTGATTTTTCATCACTTTGAACGTGGGGCAATGCGTCCAACCAGAATTTCTGTCTAAAAAGCTGATTTTTCATCACTTTGAACGTGGGGCAATGAATCCACGCAGAATTTCTGTCTAAAAAGCTGATTTTTCATCACTTTGAGTGTGGGGCAATGAATCCACCCAGAATTTCTGTCTAAAAAGCTGATTTTTCATCACTTTGAACGTGGGGCAATGCATCCAGCCAGAATTTCTGTCTAAAAAGCTGATTTTTCAGCACTTTTAACACGGCACAATGTATCCAGCCCCTGAAATAGCCAGAATTTTCTTTGGGGTTCTTTCCCCAAATTCCAGCTGCTGCAGCAGCCTCATCAGACATGCTGTGTGCTGGCAATCAGCACCTCTGATCCCTAAAAACCCACAAATGGAGTTTCCTGGGTGGATCCTGTCCTCAGCAAAGACACCTCTGAGCTTGGCTGTTTTGCTCACCTCTGATGTATTCTGGCAATCCTGAACTCCAGATTTAAGCTGGGTTAACTCGTGTGCAGCACCTGGGTGAGAACTGCAGTGGAGCTCCAGGAGAAACTTGAATTTGGGTTGATTAATGGCAGTTTCAAATTGCAGCGCTGGCACAAAAGCTGTTGAAAGCTGATTTTTGGTGTTTATTTGGGTGCATGATTTATGGGTGTTGCTGTGCTCAGAGCCACATGATGAGGAGTTTTGCTGCATCCTCCAGGTCAAGTTTTGAGCCTGAATCTGCTGAGTTTTCTTATGCTGGGCACAAGCTGTGAGCCCTGAGTTATCCCTGATTTATTTTCCCTTGCACTTCTCAGAGTTCTCTAAGAAGAAATGTGATTTTTGGTGGTTTTAGAAATGTTTAAAAAGCTGCATTTTCCATCAGCTTGAAAGTGGGAAAATGCATCCAGCCCCTGAAACAGCAGGAATTGACTCACTTGACCCTAAGGAGCCAATTAATATCCCATATTAAAATTGCACATCCCACGAGGGGTTTTGGCTCAGAATCAGCGCTTGGGAGTTGTAGCTCAACCTTCTCCTCCAATTATCCATCTCCCCATGGCTGTGGAGCCCACACTAATTAACAAAACATCGCTAATTGACTGACAGGTGACTGCCTGCAGCCAGGAAATGGAGTGGGACAGCAAAGCAGGGGGGGTCTGAGGGCGGCTGAAATTCCATTTCAGCTGGAATTCCACAGGTGAAGCAGGGGGAGGATTTGTTGATCCAATTCTGGGTTTGGCAGCAGGGAATTATTTGGAATTGCTGCCTGCTCCTGATGGATTTTAAAGGGAGCATTTAGGTTGGTGATAACAGGATTTTCCTGACTGGAAGGGGCTGATTTCAAAACTGTTTATGCAAAGCCAGAGCAATGCTGAATCTGCTGACCTCTTATATTTAGGACCAGCAACCTAAATTTAATTACAATTAACTTCTATTTGCATGGATCCTAAAATTATCCACGTGAGGGACAGTAAATTACCTTTTCTACTGTTTTTTTGTCTCATTTGCTGATGTAATTCCCTCAGCCTGCACTGGTACAGTCTTCCTTTGGATGTTGGTGGTTTGTGCTCATGAAACTTCACCAAAAAGTAACTCAAGAACACCTTTGGACGTAAGATGGACAGGAATTTGTGTGAAAGCTGACAGAGCCTTTGAGAGCTTGCTGTCTGCTCTAATAAATAACACAGATGAAGGTTCTTTCTGAGGCATTTGGATCCTTTGGATCCCCCAGAAACTGAATGAAGAGGATTTATTTTTGCTGCTTTTGGGTGATATTTTGTTTTTTGGCCAGTAACAAAGAGTCCTCCAAGCACAGATCTGAAGCTCTGGGCTTGTGTTTTGAAGAACACCAAGGCAGTTCTGGTCACTTCTCCATTGACTATTGCACACCAGCACTTAAAAAAACCCCTAAAAACCCCACAGCCAGCCAGGTGTTGGCATCTTCAGCTGGTTAGAGTGACTCCAAGAGAGGTTAGAAATTCTCTTTTCCCAGCCTGGCACTGCAAGGAGTCAGAGCTCTTCAGTTCTCGGTCTCAAGGTTGTTTATTGTCTCTCATCTGTAAAATTCTTTCTCCTGCCCTGCTGAGGTCCGTCCAGCAGGACAGTTCAGTATTCCTTTGGATATTGGTGGTTTGTGCTCGTGAAACCTCACCAAAGTGAAGTTTCAAACTCAAACACACCTTTGGGTGTAAACTGGACAGGAATTTGTGTGAAAGCTGACAGAGCCTTTGAGAGCTTGCTGTCTGTTCTAATAAATAACACAGATGAAGGTTGTTGCTGAGGCATTTGGATCCTTTGGATCCCCCAGAAATTGAATGAGGAGGATTTATTTTTGCTGCTTTTGGGTGATGTTTTGTTTTTTGACCAGTAACAAAGAGTCCTCCAAGCACAGATTTGAAGCTCTGAGCTTCAAAGTTTTGGAGAACTGCAAGGCAGTTCTTGTCACTTATCTGCACACCAGTGCTTAAAAAAACCCCTAAAAACCCCACAGCCACTCAGATGTTGGGATCTTTAGCTTGTCAGAGTGACCCTGAGAAAGGTTAGAAATTCTCTTTTCCCAGCCTGGTGCTTGAAGAAGGAGTCAGGGCTCTTCATTTCTCAGTCTCAAGGTTGTTTTATTGTTCCTTATCTATAAAATTCTTTCTCCTGTCCTGCCAGGTCCATCCAGCAGGACAGTTCCAGGCACTCTGCCTGCCCCCAGGGTGGTGTTATGTGTTTATACTAAAAACTACCTGTGCAATATTTACAATAACTTCCCAATACCCATCACCTGTGTTAGACACTGAGCTTCTACTCTAAACCAATCCCAAAGTGCCACCAGCACAGCAGAAGATGGAGGCCAAGGAGAAGAAGGAGAAAAGCTGGATGTGACCGTGCTCACAGGGTCTGAGGATGAGGGAAGAGACGAGGATCTGACTCCATGGTTCAGAAGGCTGATTTATTATTTTATGATATATATTATATTAAAACTATACTAAAAGAATAGAAGAAGGGATTTCATCAGAATGCTGGCTAAGAATAGAGAAAGAAAGAATGATAACAAAGGTTTGTGTGTTGGACAGAGTCCGAGCCAGCTGGGCTGTGATTGGCCATTAATCAGAAACAACCACATGAGCCCAATCCCAGATGCACCTGTTGCATTCCACAGCAGCAGATAACCATTGGTTGCATTTTGTTCCTGAGGCCTCTCAGCTTCTCAGGAGGAAAAATCCTAAGGAAAGGATTTTCCATAAAAGATGCCTGCGACAGCTGGACACGCTCAGATCCCTCCATCTTGCCTTCTGAACCTCCATTCTAAAAACCCCAAATTTATTTTTCCACCCTGTGATAACTTCACTATTATTCTACCTGAACTGTCATGGCTCAATGATCTTCATCTAAGGTTGGTAATTTTCTCCATGGGTCATAACCAGACCCACAAGGTGCTCTGGGCTCTGTGCCAGGGTCTCTGAGCCCCCTGGCAGGGTCTGGGCTGCTCAGGACAGCCTGAGGGATGTGCTGGGTTCCCACACGCTCAGAGCTGGAGGATGTGAGCAGAAAGGAGGGCAGGGAGCCGGGTGCTGTGCCCTGCAGGGTGCCCTTGCCTTGGCACTCTGCCCTGGCATCCCGAGGAGAGCAGGAGCAGGAGGAGCCCGGGATGCTCCGTGCAGGGAACGAGCTGCACCCGCCTCAGGACAGCTGGGAAAGCGCTGAGAGGAGCTGCCCCAGGCCAAGGCAGGGAGCTGCTGAGCTGACTGTGAGGTGCAGAAAGGAAGGGACACGCAGCTGAGCATGGCTGGAACCCTCCCAGGCAGGATCTCCACCAAAGGCTCACACACCCGAGGTGCGGCTCCCTTCTCAGCCGGGGGTTCCCAGGGCAGCTCCTGGGGGTTTGGGGAGAACTCTGAGCATCCTGCCCGGCTCTGATGCACCTGGGGCTCTCTGCCACCCTCGCTCTGAGCTGTGGGTGCTGCTGCTGCTGCTGCCTGGAGGGCTGGGAGGCGCTGCCATGGTCCACACGCCCTGTGCTGGCACAGCGTCCTGTGGCACGGCCGCCAGGCAGGTGTGCCACCCCTGCGTGTCCTCCCTGAGGAAAAAACTCTCCCTCTGCAAATCCATGTGAGTTCTGTCTCTGCCTCCTTCTTTATAATCCCAAAATGAAGAGAGGGAGCCACTCTTCATTTTGGGGTAATAATGTCCTTTATTTTGGGGTAATAATGTCCTTCATTCTGGGGCAATAATGTCCTTCATTTTGGGGCAATAATGTCCTTCATTTTGGGGTGATAATGTCCT